GAGAGAGAGAGAGAGAGAGAGAGAGAGAGAGAGAGAGAGAGAAAGAGAGATCCTTTCGTGTCCGGGTGTTCTCTCGTGATCCATGCGAAAAGCGGATTACGCGCGGCATTCGGCAATGAGGCAACAACAGCCGGTGGACGTATCGCCGCGGTGTCGGTGTTGAGACACTCGTCCCGGTCGTTCAACGTCCCGGGCGTGTCTTCGGCATCAAGTCCACATCGGCACCGACAGGCGATATGAGTACGAAATTCATAATTGATAGTATGCTACCTGCTAAGTACCAACAATTTCACCCTCAACAGTTGTTCTCAAGCGCGGCTCCAGGTACCATTCAGGCGTGCACAACGAGTCCGGCCACCGCGAGCCTAGAATCGAGTTTATCCGCGGCTGCAGTCGCGGCCGCGGCAGTCAATTACGCACAGCAGCACAATTCACCGAGCCCGACGGGTTCGAGTCCTCAGCACTCGGGAAGCTCCGCTTCGACATCACCGGCGGCACGCACCACGTCAAGCATGTATCCATACGTGTCCGCCGCAGCGGCGCATCATCATCATCAGCAGCAGCAAGCGGTCGCGGCCGCCGCATTCGGCGCGACGTCGAGCATGGTCCCCGGTTTCGGCTCCACCGCGGCGTCCAGCGCTGCTCTCGCCGCCGCCGCTGCCGTCGACGCCGCGACCGCCGGCGACAAATCCTGCCGTTACACAGCTAGTCTGACCGGCAATGTAGCACCTGCATCCGCCGACCCTATGGTTAACTATACTCTAGGCCACCATCATCAGAACGGCGCTACGCCCGGTAGCCTCGTCTCATCCGCGTCCGCATCCTCCGCCGTCTCCGCTGCCTCCGCCTCCATGGCTGCGGCGGCACAGTTCTACCATCAGGCGGCCGCCGCATCGGCTGTTGTCGATCCTTTGACGTCCTGCCAACAACCTACCACAGGTCAACCTGGGATCTCGGATATACCCCGGTATCCATGGATGTCTATTACCGGTGAGTCTTAAGTCATTCATGCTTGTCGAATTTCCCATTTTTACCTTCTTTTTACCTTTTTCTTCTTTCTCTTCCTCACTACTGTTGACCGACGGTCCGCATAAACGACGTAACGCATCGTCACGAGAATCTTGTGCTTTTATCGTCATGTTTTCTTCTTTCTTACGGATTATAATATAGTTTCTAAAAGTAGTATTTATGAAAAGCCATGCTTTATAATATATGTTTAGATACTTTTTTTTTTTAAATCTAATTATCTAATTAGATTGATTCTTTGCGCCCGGGAATATCTCTTTACAGTCATGCTATTAAACAGAGAATTGCCGTAACTGCATAAATCTACATGTTATTATTACGTTTAATTTACACCTTATTAACAAGTGTTTATTTTAATTAATTATTTAAATGTGAAAGTGAAACGCACATCTATATTTCTACATTTTTATAATGTATGTATACGTTGAATGTGGTCGTATATTTTTTTATATCGCATGATTAAGAGAAAAAGTATATGAAGAATGATCGCATGAAACTTTCAGCATGATATCGGTAAGAAATATTAGATTTATTTATGGTAATTTTAATTGAATAATGTAAAAAATTAAGAAATATAAGTAGGGGGATTAATAAAAATATTATATAAATTGTTAAATTACTCATCGTATTTATATTAAATATATAGTGATATTAATATGTAAATTATCCAATTTTAACTTATGAAATCGCAGAACATGGAAAAGATAGGATACATAATTATTGATTAATTATTTTTGTTTCTATTTTAAATCTATTCGATAGAGATTGAATTTTTAATGCGTTTTTCTTATTTCTCAAATTACAAATTGTATAAAATATAAATATTTTAGATTAGACACGGTTTACTTTGGTGATGAATCGAGGACATAGAAGTAATTCATATTTTAACTCGAATGTAAAGTGTACAAGCCTTATCATAATTACGTTGAGAAGTCTAGATAACGGTTTGATTATATAAACATTGTAGGCATGAATATATAAATATGCTTTTCTGAAAAAACTATATGCATTAATATTGTGTACTGTTTTTTTTTCTTTAAACATGTTTTTAATGAAGATTAATGATAATTAAAAAATTATATTCTATTCTATATCAGCTGTTTTATAATTTTACATGTATTAGAAACACACATATATATATA